CGATGACTACTCAGCGTATTGGTCCTTGACTGCCACCATGCCAAGACCAAATACTTATCATAAAAAGACTCGTCATGTCGACCGTCGACTTTTTGTACCCGGAGCCTCGACACCCAGTAGTGACGTAATACTAACTAAATTCCACATTTCACTCCCTGTCCCAATCAGGACTATAGTACTAACTCCTCAACCCAGAAACCACAACATTTTTCCGCACCAAGCTATCCAGCAAGACATTAATGCATTACAATCTCAATGACACACAACTTGACCTTGTCCAGCATATTCCCACCAGAGTGTACCCCAACATAAAAGTCCAAGCCAAGAGATTACGTGTGTTTCATAGTAACAAGCCTCAACAACCAATACCTAGCATTTTCTACACCATACAAAATACAAAAGTAACAATTCTCGTGATACAAATGCTCATACAAGTAGAACTACAACAAGAATGCCCAACTAATCCATACAAACATTTTCCCACACTTTCTACTATGCACGACCACAACGAGAGTGTACAAACATATCATAAAAAAAATAAGTTTTAGTACTCTATCATGAAGAACCGCATCATGAAAGTGCAACAATATCGCAAGCTAATTTTCAGCATATAATATCATGATAAAAAAAAAACACATCAAGAGTGTCTCAACATTTCATAACAAATTTTCAACAAGAATGCAACCCATCAATAACATCTACAAGTCCTCAAACCATGACCTACAATTTTTTACATACATGAGATGCACAATATAATGAAATTCAACAAGAAACCATTGCAAGAGCACCCATTAACAAACACACCCGTCCCTCGGTGCTACTTACACACTGCTATGCTTCTAAACCTCCCGTCAATTCAACACCTAGGCATCAAGAGACAAAAGACAGCAATTAAAATAAAAATTCCAACCATCGAAATTGGTTCTAAAGTGTTTTGAAAGGTCCATTACCGCCAAAAGCGACTTCATTTAAGTGTGGGTAACTTAGATCTAACACGATGGGGTGTGGGTTGTGTAAATCGAGCATTGAATGGTTACGAGTAGGTGCCAAATGCCATGGAATTTTGCTGTAGCGTTTTTCTTGCAACAGAAAAATACCCCCAACTGATACCACGCTGCTGTGTGCTGTGAGGAACCTGCACTCGAGGTCGCCGACCTTCACGGAATACTGAACCCGAGCTATGGAGGAGTTATGTCGCCAAAACCAAATGCCCCGAATGCCCCAACTGCAATAGAACCATCGTCCGGTACCAAGACAGATGTCGCGCCTGCTGTTGTTCGCAGGAGGTGGCGCGCCACTGCTGGTGGCCTCGGAGTACCTTTGTTTTGTCTAGCCCAAGTTTCTAAGATGATTTACTCTTGGGATGACGGAAAGAGATCAAAGCTTTCTCTTCTGACGATGGTTGGAGTTGACGTCAGTCAAAGAGGTCACCGGTCATCAGAGTCTGCGTCAGGGAGAGGTGGTGCGGCTGGGTATCAACAAGGAAGGAGAACACAGAGAGGGGCTGGTGGCTCACAAAAAGTAGGGAAATAACGGTTTTAGGGCTCCTTTTCTTTTCCTCTATGATTTGAATTAAAAGCCCACCTACCTAATTCTTTTTTTTTAAAAAAAAACAAAGCCCATGAATTAAAAAGATTAGAATTCTAGTTTCAAACATTACTAAACTTAATTATCTCCAATAGCAAAAATGAACAATCAATCCAACGCCAGGACAAATTCTGAAAAGAAAACAAATTCTTTGTTAAAACAATAAATAATTACATAAATAAATAAATTCATAACAAACACCACAGCAGCTCAAAATAAAATGAAATAGAACAATTAAAATAATTTCTAAGTAAAACCCCGAGACTCGAAGTTAATCTAACCTGAGTAATGCGAGGTGTTACATAATCCTTGTTGAGTGTGATTGCTTCTATTAGTTTTAGATTCCTCTCTTTGAAGTAGGATGGTGAGTACTCAGGGATTAGACTCACCTCATTGTGCTTATAAACTGATTTTATTGCTTGCTTTCATTACAACGGGAGTTGGATTTAAACATGTTTGGATATCTCGGGAGAGAAGCATGACGGTTTAGGCATTTAGTATTTTTGGTTTGCTAGAACATAGTTAGCAAAGGGTGAAAGCATCTGAGCAAATCCCCCTCGATTTCGATTTACATCGTTTCTTCATTGTAACTATTTATTCTCTATTTCAGATGCTCCAGCATTGTATCGAAATATTTTTGCAGCTTGTCATTTATTGTTTTACAAATTTATTTGCATTGTTCCCACGATACACCAATCAAGCTACTTTTATTTTTGCTTTTTGGTATCATGATTTGTTAGTTCAAAGTTAAGGTGCAATCCCTTGAAAACGACCTTGTTTATATACTACAATTGATTCTTTACTGTATACCAACACTAATTTTCTCTTGGTTGTGAGGAAGCGAACATTCTCTGCCCCGTCCCGTGAACATCCCAATATGTAGGTGGTGACTCGCTTGCCTGAAATGGTAATAGACTGCACTTTCTGGTCTCGACGGAGTGTAGGAGTTAGGTGGGTATCTTCCCTTGCTCTATCGGAACTATGTTCTTTCTCTTTATTTACTAAACTTGCTTCTTTTATTCAGTTATTTGTCACCCTAATCTTACTTCTGTTGCTTTGGCCTTCTACAATGTCGTTGTCCATTTGTTCGGGGCAGATCGATGGGGTCTGATCCTGATGAAGGAACAAAATCTGGTTGATTTCGACCTTGTGCCTCATCGGCAAGCTTCAGGTGGTTGTTGAATGTATTGTTGGTTTGCCCTTCGGTAAGAACCTGTTATTCCTAACTTCTACTCATTATTTTTTTAAGGATGTCGATATGCGTGACTTTTCTATTTGAAAGAGAATAAAGGTGTAGTACCAGGAATTCAGGACCTGAGTCGAGTTGGGCTTCAGATGTTAATGTGACTGATGTGATTAATGGCGATCCTCCATCTCATCAATATCACACGCGATCTTCGGTGCCCTCAATCGCCCCTAGCCATTCGGCTTATCTTCATGAGGAGTCCACCTTTTCTTCCTCTCGTGGCAACACCGATTCTTCTTCCCAGGTTTTAGCTTTTCCTTTCCATAGGTCATACTTTGCTGATATCGATGAGGTGGCCTACTTGGAGAGGGCCTTTGGCCTTTTGCAGTGACTTGATAAAACATCTATTGGGCCTGATTTTGGGTATTCCAACCCACAGCAGAGCATCGACTCGCGCCTCACTAACCTTCACCGAGTCAATTTTGATTCCATCACATGTTTCTTTAAATTTTTTCTCCTTCCCGTATTCTGACTTGTGTTCTATTCTTCATGTGTTTACCCATCTGATGGTGTCTTCTGGTAGGATTGCCGATAAGATCAGACATTTTTGCCAGAACTATGCCCCAGGGGATGAGCTTAATCGAGCCTCTCATAATGAACTGATAGACCTGCGAGGCTCGATGAAGCTAAAGCCCAGTTTTCCAATTCCAAATTTATGGTGGAGGAGTTTAAGAAAAGTGTAGGGTATGTCAATCTGTAGAATACCGCTATGGAGTGTGGTGCGTCGTGGTCGCTTCAACAACTCTTTAATGAACACCTCGAGACAAATTATTTGTTCCTTTAGGAGCGTTTCAGGGCTGAATATAAACTAATGATATGGATAATGACGATGATTTGAGTTTTGGCTCTTCTGTATTTTTGTTAATCACTTAAAATAAATAGCTTTTAAGTTTGCTACTTTTTTGTTGCAATTAGCTTTAAATTAAGCCTTTTAGCCACTACTATCTAGCTTAATTTAGCCATTAGTTTTTTATTGGCCTTAGGCTCTAACTTAGTTGGGCTAGTTTTCTCGTCTTCAACACCTTTGGGTTTATACCCTTGGTTTCATTTATTAGTTTGGCTCATTTGCCCGCTTTTAGTTTTAAACTTTTTGGGCTCATTTGCATGCCATTTTCAGCACATTTGGGTTTTTTTCATCATTTGGGCTTAATTTACCATTTATCTTCCCCAGTGTCATTGATTGGCTTCTAACTTATTGACTTGCTTTTGGTTTGCCCCAATTCGAGTTCCTTAATCAACTTCTATTGTCCATTATCTTACCCAATCTATGTTGCATGTCCACGACCGATGTGAATGCAAGTGCAAGTGTACACTACATTCGCCAATTGTAGTACAAACAATGTCGAAATCCATAGGGACAACGTGTTAAACCTTAAGGTTATGCTTAAGAATACAAAAAATGCAAAATAAAATAATGTCAAGTGTTGTATGGCTAAATCTGAACAAAAGTAATAATAAACTTGCAAAAAAGACTCCAGGAACGAAACACTGCATAAATATATGCTCGGGCAAGAAAAACTTTAGCACAAAAAAAGACGATTTATGGGAAACATAGATGGACTGAGACAGGAGAGATCCCTCAAGCTTTCATTCCATCACAAACTACGCTCTAGCATAAAATTTTTGATGATTGCTCAAATTGACACGATTCCCTTATGAGACACCCAGAAAAGAGCATTCACAGCTCCCATTACTAAATACCTAAGCATAAAGAGCAGTTTATAAGCATGGTTAGGGAATCTTATTGTTAAGCATCCACAAATCTACTAAAGAAAAGTAGCTAACCACAAATAGAGCTATTCACACTACTTGTATATCCTTCTAAATCATTCAAGAGCTAATGCACCGACAGAAGTGGCCAACAAAAATCAGTAAGATGAAAATATTATAGCAGCTTTATTTATTAGCATATGATATAACCTAGAGTGTCACTATTTATGAACTACAACATGGAATCTCCCCCGAAAGTGGGGCTTAGTTCATATGGGGGCGGGAAATACAATGGGTAAATAAAAGAGGTAACTCATTTCGTGAAGGAACACTGTCAAGCTCCTAGGGTTGCCAGTTAAAGAACAAAAACCAACAGCTCTAGCCCTTGTCGTTAGCTCTTTCTTAAAAAAATGGGTGATTCTTCTTCTTGTCTTCTGCACCATGCAAGGAATAATTCTCTCTTGGGATCTATGTGTAAGTTGGGATTCTCTTACCCCTTTTATATCGGGCCTTAATTTTAGGGCACCCAGCTCGCTTCTGTATAGGCACAGTTAAAATTTCCTCTTAAGTGAGTTACTGCGTTGTGATCACATGCTACCAAATACGGTTGCTCTAGCTTTATACGCTCTGGCACAACAATGCTCCTGCACTCTCCTCTAGCTCAACTATACTGCCATCGAGTTATTTCTTATGTTTCGTTTCCCACACAAAAGAGCCCAAAATAGGGGAACTAAGAAGAAGTTTGTGCTATTTATCCAATCAACGAGTTAAAGCATGTTCTTTTACTTTTCATTAAATTCATCACTCCTATATCCAATTTAGACACACAACCTCACTATTATGCACAGCTTTATGTTGGGTTTTATGTCCTAAACTCGTGGTTTGTAAATATAAAACAAATATTTATTCACTAAAGCTGTTATTGAAATTCTTTTTATAATTGCATTAACCCAAATCCAATAAACTAACATCCTAGGTTATGTCATATAACTGGAACAATATATAATTGATATACAAGGTATATATTTAATATATAGTATATAATTGATATACAAGGTATATATTTAATATATAGTATATAATTGATATATAGGGTATATATTTAATATACAGTATATAATTAATACAATGTATATATTTAATATATAGTATATATTCGATATACGAGTGGATAATGTTCCAGTAATACGACACACTTTGTAAGAGTTATAAACGACTTAATTCAAATCGTTCATGTAGAGACATTGTTACCTTTATGAGCTTCAGTTACACCAAATATTTTGATGATAACAAACTGTATTTACTAATGCTTTTAGTGTTTCAAAGTGCCAGTTGCAAAGCCCAGAAAGACGAATTCAACACATTTTTAATCACTCACATCAGAGTTCAAACGAATAATTCATAGCCAAAACAAGTTGGGGAAAGAAAATCACATGTGGCAGGTGACGTGGCACCTAATAATCAAATTATGCCACCGTGGCCATGATGTGGCAGTAATATGGCAACAATAATTTTGGTGACATGGTGGATGACGTGGACAAATCATGTGACGACACGTGGTTCTTTCAATCTCAACAAATCAAATTCCCACAATCCTCTCCACAAATTTCTCCAAATCTCCTAATTCTCTTTATTCTATTCCTTATCTCTACTTTTAATCTCTATCATTCATCCTTTGTTGCCTTAAATCCAACGTCCAAATTTCATCTTCGAAACTCTATTTAAAACCACCAAATTTCACCATTCTCCACACCAATTATCAAAGCAAACATCTTTCTCCTTTCAAGTTATTGTGCTCTCAAATTTTCATTCTCTCCGCACAAAAAGTTGTCTATATATATTTTGTGAGATACATTAGAGTGTAGCTTTTTTAGCTATTACTTTAATGTGAAATTTATAGATCTACCTTAATGAGGAACTTTATTTGTATTGCTTATTTCACATTTTCCACACCTTGGATTGTGAGAAAACACAATTGGTTGGAT